CACTCTCGAAAATTCACGAGCTAACGGAGGAAAAATGGGCCGAACGACGGCTCGGCCTAACGGGTCGGAAGTTGGCTTGTGAACGAAACTCGGAAAAAAAAAAATGAAACGAAAAGAGACGAACGGCACGTCGGCTCAACGCCTTCTCGCATCTCGCCGGGAATGACGTCAGAGCTGCTCGTTGACGCCGGGGTTGCTCGAAAGGTGGCTTACCAAGACGGGCTCGCCGGAAATGGCAACGTGGAGAGCTCGCTGGTTCACGCCGGTTGGTCGCGCTTGTCTGGAGTTCGCCGGAAAGGAAGAGGTCGCGACTGTTGCAGACGGAGAGAGAGAGAGAGCTCGCGGACAGGGGCTCGCTGGCTGTTCGTTGCGAAGGACGAGAACTACTCGTCGGAGGAAGAGAGGATGATGGTTGAAGCTGACGACGGAACTTGAGAAGGAGATGATGGTGACATGATTTTTGGTGCGAGAGATTAAGATTTAAGAGAATAAAGCATATGCTCAAAGAGGGATTCTCGGATCGGAGCAGGTTTTGATTCGCAAGAGATGGAGAAAATGAAGCTGTACACGTGATTGGAGATAGATACAGATTTTGAATGTAAAAAGATGAAGAAATATCATTATATTTTAATATAATATGTATAGTTTGACTTATTCTATATCAAGAACTACACACATCACACGAACCGATTTTATTCATGCGGTTATACTCGGGCTCGATTAATCGTACGATAAAATAAAATAACAATCAAAAACTATTTATTTATTACATACATTATTTTAAAATAATAATATTAATAACAATAATCTCAATTAATTCGAAAACAACGGTTTACGAATCGGCTGGTTTCGACTACTAATTTATCGAGCTCAATCTCTTAAACTCCGAATAATCATAATGCTCGGAAAAATAAAAATAAAATATGACGACTCGTAAATCTTATGATTCACAGAACCGACATAATATATATTTATTAGCCTACACTAATAAATACATCATCAAATAATTATTCCCTCTAGCAGTTTAATAAAATAATAATAATAATAATAATAATAATAATAATAATAATAATAATAATAATAATAATAATACATAATATTAATAACAAACAATCTCAACTAATCACTTCTAAAATAAACGGATCAGAATAAAATTCTAAAACTGGCTCGATTACTGAATAGAATTTAACCGAGAATATAGTTATATTATACATATAATAATATAATATATATAATCACATAATCAAGGAAGATCAGAAAAATCTAATATTCAAATGGGGCATTATAAAATAAATGTCAAAAAATAATATCCAATTATTTCGGAATAAATGGGGCGCTACAAGGGGCCTGCTGACGAGGAGGAGATGGGGTCGGGGGAGGAGGCGGGGTCGGTTGACGATTGCGAGCATTGCGGGCATTGCGATTGTTACGATTGGCCATAGTTCTACATGAACAGACCGAAAAGAGTTTAGCACAAAATTAAGTTTAAATAACACAGGAAGTCTAGAATTCTCCACGAAACACTAGAGTTCAAACTTTAAATCAAAGGTGGATAAATTCCTAAGACCCATATAAGATCAATCAAAGCAATAAAACTCATACCTCGAGTTGGCGCGGCGAGACGAAAGCGAGTGGTCGAATGGTCGTTAAACAAACTAACACTAGAGATAGTCTACAGAAACGCAGACTAGCTCTGATACCATACTGTAACGCCCCATTTTATTTTAAAGAATTTACCGAATTTATTTATAAAAATCAGAGTTATTTTTTTTTTTTTTTTTTTTTTTTCCCAAATTAAAACTTTATTAACAAACGGGCGCTACTTAAACTACTTAAACCAAATAAACATCTTACACAGATAAAATCTAACAATTTAAAATAAAACGGGGCGTTACATTAGCTCTTGCAGATATTGTGACATTATTGAGACATCGTGGCATCGTGGCACAAGCCTTCGGGACTATTCTACTATGCTTTTTCCAGATATGAGTAGTATGAATTCAAGTGTGAACCGTCTGGTTATGGATGAACTTAACCGATGAACAGAAGGGTGTTTATTCCAGAATAATGACATTTGTTGATTTCGGTAGGGGCGGAGTGTTTTTGTTATTTTTTATGGTTATGGTGGAACTGGCAAGACATACTTGTGGAGGACTTTAGCTGCTGGGCTAAGATCGCGCGGTCGAATTGTTCTTTGTGTTGCATCAAGTGGAATAGCATCTCTCCTGTTGTCGGGCGGTCGCACTGCACATTCTCGATTTGGCATTCCTCTTTCTGTACATGAAATTTTATCGTGTGATATCAATCAGGCTAGCCCCCTTGTAGAGTTGATTATTCGCTCTTCACTGATCATACGAGATGAGGCCCCTATGATGCACAAGCATTGTTTTGAAGCTGTTCAAGCTTCTTTTAAGGCAATAATGGGAGCAATCGACCCGGCAAATCATCATAAACCGTTCGGAGGCAAGACTGTTGTGTTTGGTGGAGACTTTGACAAATCCTTCCGGTAGTTCCAAAGGGGAATCGTCAGGATATTGTTAATGCTGCTATTAATTCTTCTACCATTTGGGGAGACTGTACTTTGCTTAGACATACAAAGAACATGCGTCTTCAGAGCATTGGATATTCAAATGAACGTGACGAGTTAGCCGCTTTTGCTGATTGAATAGCGAGCATCGGAGATGGCACATTGGGAGGGTACAAATGATGGATGTGCTCCGATAGACATACCAGATGATCTATTACTAGAACCATCCGATGATCCAATTGCAAAAATTGTTGAAAGCACATATCCGATGTTCAAGAATGCAACAGATGATTCAAGTTACTTGAAAGATAGGGCTATACTCGCGCCAACACTCGAGATCGTAGAATCTATAAATGCATACATGTCGTCGTTGAATTTGACTGAAGGACGCACGTATTTAAGCTCAGACAGTACGTGTAAATCTGACTCCAATACCGACTTTCTGGCACAACTCCATACTCCTGAGTTCTTGAATACTATCAAGTGTTCTGGAACACCGAATCATGAGTTGAATTTAAAGGTCGGAACTCCAGTTATGTTGTTGCGCAACATGGATCACTCAATGGGACTTTGCAATGGTACACGACTGGTTGTGACCAAACTCTCCAATCATGTTCTCGAGTGTAAAATTCTTACTGGAGATCATGCAGGTGATAAAGTTTTGATGCCTCGAATGACCATAACTCCTTCGGATGTTAGAGTACCATTCAAATTCCAAAGAAGGCAGTTCCCCATTGTGGTGTCGTATGCAATGACTATAAACAAGAGTCAATGTCAATCCTTATCTCATGTTGGCTTATTCTTGAAGAAACCAGTTTTTAGTCATGGCAAGTTATATGTCGCTGTCTCCCGTGTTACTAATAGAAAGGGTCTGAAAATTTTAATTTGTGGAGAAGAAGGTTTGAAAGCAAATCAAAACCAATAATGTTGTGTATAGAGAAGTATTTAATAATATATGATTTTATTTTTTTTGTACTTTGTATTTCTCTCTCTTTTTTTTTTTCTATTACAATCAAATTATTAATTTATAAACAAAAATATTAAATAAATTTTAAAAAAAAGGTTTGAGGAAATAACCCCACTGTACTGCGCACCGGTACTACACTATATTTCCAAAATGAATATAATCCGTGCATCGCACGGGTCACATACTAGTTATTAATGACATAATTTTTCCTTTAGTAAGTACTTTGAATTTTAATTGAAAACTAGTACGTATCCCATGCGATGCAGAAGACAAAGATATTAAATGAGTTATTTTCACACCCTTGTCCATTTAAGTCTAAAAAATAATAGGGTTATTATCTATTTTCTACCTCTTTTAATCAACGTTAAGTCTAAGAAACAATAGGGTTATTATAAGTTTTTTTTCCACATCTTTTAACCAGCGTTGTTTTTTTTAGTCAGAACATTAAGTATGAGCATGTTAGGGCTAGCTTGTAAAATAATTAATATATTATCTCACTAAAACATTTATACTAATAAAAATTTAATCGTATCATATAAATTTATCCCTTGATATAAGAGAAAGTAACAATTTTACTTATTGTTGTTCACTATATAATATTTAATTATTATCTTATTATATAATAAAACGGAATACTGTTAAATAGTGTAGTAGAATTGTTATAAAATTATATGATTTTTTTTTTCACAATCTGGATTTAATATCTTTTTATAATTTGATAATATAACTATAACATATTCTTAATGATATAATATGAGATACAAATTTACATAATACTATTGATTTATTCCTTAATGTTAAGATATTGAATTAGTTAATATATGATTCACTAATTTGTAATCTGTCTCTTTTTATATTGAAAATAATTATGTGATTGAGTAGAGATAACAATTATCTATAAATTCCTTCATTAAGGAATAATTTTTAAATTGTTCCAAGTGTTGAATGCAGTCCGATTTTCTTGTAACTAAATGAGAAGAGATTTTGAAATATATAAAACTTTCTAAATATGGTGTGCAATTAATTATGAGTTGGCATTTCTTCCTACTAATTCTAGTAAATAGGATGACTTTTTATATAAGTATAGATTGCTTTTTAAAAAAGACAAAGATAATAAACTCCCGTGCATTGCACCAATACTATACTAAATGCACCGGTACTATACTAGTTTAGTAATAATAATTTTAATAAATAGAATGATTTTTTATATAAGTATAGATTAACTATACTAAATGCACCGGTACTATACTAGTTTAGTAATAATAATTTTAATAAATAGAATAATTTTTTATATAAATATAGATTGCTTTTTAAGCAAATAGTAATCTATTTGATAATAAACTCCCGTGCATTGCACGGGTACTAGTTTAGTAGTAAAAATGCCCCCATGCAGGATCGAACTACAGACCTTCAGTTTACAAGACTGACGCTCTACCACTGAGCTATAGGGGCGTTCCACGTATTTCGGTGAATTATTTATTATATTTCTTCGTTTCAACTTTATGAAACTAGTCGAAACTTGAAGTGCTCAAGTTTGAGCGAAGGTGATGTTGAAGAGCGAAGATTGGGCAGCAATGGCGGCGGCATCAGCTCGGGTGGAGATAGAGAAGATGAGCATAGAGCAAGTGAGAGGGGTAAAAGAGCAAGCCGATCTGGAGGTTAATTTGTTTCAGGACAGCCTCAAAAACATCCGCACCGGCACCGTCCGCCTTGAGCTCGCCTCCGCCGCCCTTCACGACCTCTCCCTCCGCCCCCAAGGTCATCTCACTACCTACCACTTTCTCCTTTGTTATCATTATTTTTACAATTGGATCTTGTAGCTTCTTATTTCCCTTTCTATTTTGGGTTTAATCGAATCAGGGAAGAAACTGCTGATGCCGTTAACGGCGTCGCTTTACGTGCCGGGAATGCTCGACGATGCGGAGAAGGTCTTGGTGGATGTTGGCACTGGCTATTTTATTGAGGTCGGTTGGTTTTTAGATATGTTCTTCATTGCGACAGAGTTTTTATTGTAGTTCGCAAAAAAATTTCAATTTGGACAAAATAACATTTTCCTTGCAATTATATCACCATTTCTTTCACCACCAACACAATTAGTGATATTACTGACCCAAAATTAAATAACTAAAGCTTGCATAGCATTTTTGGTAAGAAAAAGGTACAAATGATAGTATTTGACGATGTGTCCCTGATGCATCCGGCACCTCCCTCTCCATTTGTTGTTTATTATTATTATTTGATTCAGTTCTTTGTTTTCTGTGTTAGTAGTTTGTTGCCATGGGCTGGAATCACGAGACTTGCAATTCCCTTAATATCTTCTTTTGTTTGTTCAAAACTCACTCTTTAATAAACATTATGTTCTAGAATAGCAGAGTTGGCTTGGTTCTGTCTGGATAATTCCTCAGGTTACCTTGAATGTCTTTACGGCTGATATTTGTGGTGGTAATTGGAGGACGTTGGGGAAAGCAATTGTCGTTATCGTATGTTGGTCTATATGGTTGGGGAAGAAATAAAAATGTCATTGAAGTTGCACTTCGGAGTTTGGGAATGAAATTAAGTCGAGGGTAGCTTAATCAGTAATAGGTAGAGCATAAAGAGTTCAATTACTTAATTCTTGTTGTTTGAAAATTTCACTATAATCTGAAAGTGAGACTAGCACGTTTAAGTTACAGAATAACCTACGCATGGTCTTCTTTCAATATCTCATCCACCAATTATAACTTCCTGTTTCTTTTAAAAAGTACACATACTAACCTATGCATTATTTTTTAATTGGGAAATGTTTGGCTCAAAAACTTGGCTCAGATATTAGCATTCACTTTTGCAATATGAGAGCATTTCTGTTGGCTTAAAGTGCTCTCTGCGGAAAGCTATTCAATGTATTGATTGATTTATTATGATTTGGAAATGATACTAGACACTCTGTTTCAAATTTCAACTAGTCTGAGTATTGGGAAAATTTTGTAATGATGGTCATGCCTACTACTGTAGAGGGAATGTTTCCTGCAAGTAACAGTTCCCTTTCATTTTTTATGCTGTAATATATTCAGATTTTTTTCAATAGGCATTTTAATAACAGAAAGTTTCTGAAATTTATCAAAACAACAGAGATTTCCATTACTTTTGATGTACATTATTCCATCTGAGCACTAAAAGTTTCTAGCATATAAAGAAGAAATAACAGATATGGTGGCAGACTGACTTATTATCGTAGTATATTTGAATGAGAAACGACAGTACTTGATGTGCCTGCATGCTTTCATTTATTTTTATTGGGAAACAATGTCAAGTTCTAATCAACTCCTTGTTCTCTGATTTTGCCAGAAAACAATGGCAGAAGGTAAAGATTATTGTGAGCGTAAAATTTCATTGCTCAAGTCCAATGACCAACTTCTTGAGGTATGTTATTTATGACAAACAGCTCATTACACCTTTTCAGCTATTTTCATATACTGCACTTTAAGATCACAAAACACACACACACACACACACCCCGTAGCTACTTTAAGTCCAAAAGAAAGAATTGTGAGAAGTTTAAGATCAACATAAAGCTAATACTGCTAAAAATATAAATTATAAAATTAGTTGAATCTAATTAGTTTTGAAATCTGATTATTATACTTTTACAGATTTACGGCTCTTCGTCTATGAACTTATGAAGAAGAATGAGTGGGTTAAAGAGAGGAAAAGGAAAAAGTTCTGT